CAAATACAGGCAGTGAGAATTACATATCAGATTGGAGGAAGTATATGTGTTCAGATATTATGGAATGGACTTGTCGGTAGACGGTTGGTTCTGTGAGACATGAGGTGAACAATAAAAGTGACAATGGGTGGCGTATTGAGGTATCTGTGGAGGCAAAGAACTTTATCCATGGAGGCAAAAAGGTGACGGTACCAGAATGTAGTGGTACCAACACAGTTGCATGGGTGTGAAGCATGGGTTTTGAATGTTGCAGGAAGGCTGGAGGCAATAGGAATATCGTGTTTGAGGGCAATGTGTTATGTGAATATTATGTAGAGAATTCGGGGTTTGGAGATTAGGTGTGGAGTTATCAAATGTATTATTCAGAGAGCCGAGGAGGTTGTTCAGGTAGTTTGGTCATCTGCAGACAATGGAACAAAATAAGATGACTAGGAGGATATATGAATCTGGGGTGGAGGGAAGGAGGGGTAGAGGTCGTCCTAGAAAGGCCTGGAGGGAAAGGGTAAATGAGGTTTAGAGTGTTATGGGCTTGAACATCCAACAGACTTGAGTGAGCATGTTCAGTGGAAGTGGAGGCAAATGTTTTTTTTTATTTGACGCGCTACTGAAGTGTGAGCAAGGTAACATTTATGGAAAAAATGGCGCAGTATGGAGGAGCTTTATTAACGAGATTACTTATTATGCACTACTGTCTCAGCTTTGGATCAAACAGTTTGTGTATATTAAAATCTTTATATAAGTAACTAACACAGGGATATGAGAACGAAATGGATGTGAACCAGTGCTTAGACTTACCCAAAGGCTATGGAAACTACACGGGTACCAGAAGCTACCACAGTATCCATAACATCTGCGATCATCGGTTCCGTGTTCTCCTCGCCATCAGTAATGAGGAGAATCACAGAGTTCCCACCATTCAGTACCTGGATTTGCAGATAAATACAAGCCAGTCAAGGGAGACTCTATGATGATATATACTTGGACACTACTGTGATCCTCAATACCTGAGAATACAGATGAAGATGAGAAGACAGTCATGGTATATATCAGAGAACATTATCACTGGTGGAAAGCCTGCCCTTAAGGAAGCTAACTTCCAAGACAATCGATATTACCTGTATTTTTGTGCACGTTCTTTGGAATAGCCTAGTTTGTGGCATCTTAGTGTAAGTTATCCTAGCCATCCCTAACGTAATCTAATCTCACGTCATCTAACATAATGTCACCTAGGCTAACCTCACCTATGTAAAATAAAGCAACATTACAACAAATGCATAATATGGACAAGTTGATAAATAAGACACATGCAACATCTGATTATCTTTAAGTTGGGCCCTTCCCACATGTGACCCTATCTTCAACTGTTTCATCTCACCACTTCTTCCACTGGCTCCAGTATAAAAATTTCCACCCTTATGTCTCTATATTAAACTGATGAAGTCCTCCGTGGAGGTAAAATAAAAGTGTTGTACCGTAATGACAAGATTGCCAACAAACCATACCACGGGCGGGGATAGAACCCGCGATCAGTCATAAAATTTCAGACCGACGAGTCGGTCTGGAGTTTTATGACTCTCTGATCGCGGGTTCTATCCCCTCCCGTGGTATGGTTTGTTCAAAAGTGTTGTACACAGGAGGATTACCAATAGACCCCTGGCTGTCTTCAAGAAGGCTCTGGACAGGCACCCAAAGTCAGTACCTGACCAGGCGGGCTGTGGTTCGTACGTCAGTTTACGTGCGGCCAGCAGTAACAGCCTTGTTGATCAGACCCTGATCCACAGTGAGGCCTGGTCACAGACCGGGCCGCGGGGGCGTTGAACCCCGAAATCCTCTCCAGAGTAATCGGTTTAATTCCACAAATATGTTGTCTCTTAGGAGAGTGAATTTTCCATTTGTGTAAGGATATAATGATACTGGTTTAAGAACAGGTATAGTGATATTGACATTGTAAAGACACATATACACCGTACATATGTACTGTGAATATATGTCTTTATGTGCATGATACTGACTGCATGTAAACAGGTAACAGTGAAGGGAGACTCACATTCACCGCCAGTTTAAGCCCGGCACCAATGCTGGTACTAGAATCGAGTCTGTCATCTATCATGTTAGCGAGGACCTCTCTCGTGGTATTACTGATCACCGTCAATCCCTGCACCAGTCTTGCAGTGGTCCTGAAACACCAACCACAATTACCTTTATGTCTACACATGGCTGAAAAAACTGTTATGTGTTTGTTTATAAGATACAATACGCAGTTTATGACATTTGAGAAGACGTTTCGTCTTCTCCTTATCAGTTGATAAAGTCCCTGGTGGTCTTAACATATTTGTCGGTTTATACTATCACTAATATCCTTACGTATGTTCTGATTTATCGTTTTGTGTATGTATCATTTATTAATGGTAAACAATACCGACAAGCTGACGAATAAGATATATGTACGACACCAGGCTCTGCACATGTGTTTTATTCACCTGCTTGTCGATACTGTATACCATTTATTTAATGATACTAGTTTGACACAGCATCTCTATGGAATCTTGGTAATGAGGATATTTTCTACACCTCTCAAGCCTAATTCATCTCACTCGTATGCTTGTCCAACCTATTTTTTAAACGCTGGCACACTTATTGGGATGACCTACTTCCACTAGTTGGCCCCATCCATCTGTGATATGCTATCTCCAACTGCTACACTTTACCTCTTCCCCAGGATGCGACCCGCAACAGTTGACTAATACGCAGGTACCTATTTTACTGCTAAGCGAGTCTTCTGCATACTAGGCTTAACCAGAATTCTCATTTCAAAAGTGCTGCTTGACCCCTCTGGGTTAAGTGTTGCTTCATGAGTTTAATAATAATAATGATACTCGGAGGGTATATATACCGAAGTATGTTTGTCTGTGTACACCAAGAGATGTATGTGTGTGTACTCGCCTAATTGATCCGCATGTATGTATGTGTGTGTGTGTGTGTGTGTGTGTTAGCATGTACACTGAGATATGTGTGGTTGTCAGTGTGTACACAGATTTTTTTCTGTACACCCAAGGGCTGTTTATTTCTCAGTGTGCACATCAAGAAATTGTGTGTGTGTTTGTGTGTGTGTGTGTGTGTGTGTGTGTGTGTGTGTGTGTGTGTGTGTGTGTGTGCGCGCGCGTGTACTCCAAGAGGTGAAGTGGTGTGCCTACCGAAATGTTGAATTTAGTAACAGGTCTGTTTCTGCTATACGTGTTATTTTTTGTACCAGGCTCAGGTACCTGCTAGTGATACACGCTTATCCCCCAAATAGAGCGCTGGTAGGTATCAAAGTTCTAGTAGTGACACGCATACTTTCCAGTGTAAGAAGAGATATTGTTCACCACGTAACTACATAAATGATGAATTTATTGCGTACCTTATTAATACAAATTGGCATAGAACGACTTCCAATAAACCTGACCAGTGTAAATCAGCTGAGCGAAACACATGGGCGAGTCTCCATACACTCACTGCTTCTGTTCACCTAGCAGAAAGTAGGTACCTGGGTGTTAGTCGACTGTTGTGAATAGCTTTCTGGGAAATGGTCAAATGCTACAACAAACACCTGAGAAACACGAACTCCCTCAAAATGACTTAATCGCTGGCTCTAATGTGAGAGCTAGTGCAGGTGTCAAGTCGGGACTTGACTACAAAACCTCAATACACGTAAGGTGCAAGAACGCAGTGGGACATGGTCACATTCCAGCTGTGTTCTAGAGCAGAACTTAGATAATTTCCCCTCATGTATGCGTGAAATGACATGAGTTTCAGAATCTCTTACGAGAAAGTGATAATGCAGACGGAGCTGCCATCTGCCACTTCATATAGGATCCAGCGCTGGGCGGCCCGCTGGAGTTTGTGAATCCTGTCATAGCCACTCATGCTGCCGGAATGGTCCAACACCAGGGCGAACTTTGCCTCTTCTTGGCTCACCACTTTGAACACTGGAGGCTGTGAGGCGGTGATGGCAGCGTTCCTGAAACCACAATACATAAGAGTGAAAGTATACAAATATTTAGGAAGGTAAGGAAGGTAATTGGAAAGTGAGAGAAAAATATACATGAGGGTGTCAAATATTCTGGAGAAGGCCTCTTGATAACAAGAACTGGAACTATTCTCTCTTTTCTTCCATATATATATATATATATATATATATATATATATATATATATATATATATATATATATATATATATATATTATTTTTTATTATTATTAACACATCGGCCGTTTCCCACCAAGGTAGGGTGGCCCAAAAAAGAAAGACTTTCACCATCATTCACTCCACACTGTCTTGCCAGAGGCGTCCTTACACTACAGTCACAAAACTGCAGCATTAACACCCCTCCTTCAGAGTGCAGACACTGTACTTCCCATCACCAGGACTCAAGTCTGGCCTGCCGGTTTCCCTGAATCCCTTCATAAATATTACCCTGCTCACATTCCAACAGCACGTCAAGTCCTAAAAACCATTTGTCTCCATTTGCTCCTAACACGCTCACGCATGCTTGCTGGAAGTCAAAGCCCCTAGCACACAAAACCTCCTTTACCCATCCCTCCAACCTTTCCTAAGCCGACCTCTACCCCACCTTCCCTCCACAACTGTTTTATTCCTTCCTCTCTACATGTCCGAACCACCTCAACAATCCTTCCTCAGCCCTCTGGATAATTGTTTTGGTAATCCCACACCTCCTAATTTCCAAACTAAGAGTCCTCTAAATTATATTCACACCACACATTACCCTAAAACACGATATCTCCACTGCCTCCAGCCTTCTCCTTGTTGCAACATTCACCACCCATCCTTCACACCCATATAAGAGGGTTGGTATAATTATACTCTCATTCATTCCCTTCTTGCTTCCACAGACAAAGTTCTTTGTTTCTACAGACTCCTCAATGCACCACTCACCTTTTTCTCCTCGTCCATTCAATGATTCACTTTATCTTTCATAGACCCTCCTCCATACTCTCTCCCTCCAATCTGATATCCAATCTTTCGTTACCTAATTTTTTTTGGTAACCTCATCACCTTACTCTTTCCTATACTCGCTTTCAATTTTCTTCTTTCACATACCATACCAAACTCATCCACCAACCTCTGCAACTTCTCTTCGGAATCTCCTAAAAGCACAGTGTCATCAGCAAAGAGCAACTATGACAACTCTCACTTTGTGCTAGATTATTTATCTTTTAACCCCACACCTCTTACCAACACCCGAGCATTCACTTCTCTTACAACTCCATCTATAAATATGGTTACATCACACATCCTTCTCTAAGGCCTACTTTTACTGGGAAATAATCGCCCTCTCTCCTACATACTCTAACCTGAGCCTCACTATCCTCGTAAAAACTCTTCACTGCTTTCAATATCCTACCTCTTATTCCATACATTTGCAACATCTGCCACATTCCCCCCCCCCTATTCACCCTGTCATATGCCTTTTCCAAACCCATAAATGCCACAAAAACCTCTTTACCCTTATATAAATACTGTTCACATATATGTTTCACTGTAAACACTTCCTAAAGCCTCCTTGATCATCTGCTATCCTACTCTCCATTTTACTCTTCATTCTTTGAATAATAACTCTACCATACACTTTACCATGTATACTCAACAGACTTATTCCCCTATAATTCTCGCACTTTCTTTTGTCCCCTTTGCCTTTATACAAAGGGACTATGCATGATCTCTGCCGTCCCTAGGTACCTTACCCTCTTCCATACATTTATTAAATAAATGCACCAACCACTCTAAAACTTTATCCACACCTGCTTTTAGCATTTCTATCTTTATCCCATCAATTCCAGCTGCTTTACCCCCTTTCATTCTACCCACTGCCTCACAAACTTGCCCCACACTCACAACTTGCTCTTCCTAACTCCTACAAGATGTTATTCCTCCTTGCCCTATACATGAAATCACAGCTTCCCTGTCCTCATCAACATTTAACAATTCCTCAAAATATTCCCTCCATCTTCCCGATACCTCTAACTCTCCATTTAATAACTCTCCTCTCCTATTTTTAACTGTCAAATCCATTCATTCCTTAGGCTTTCCCAACTTATTAATCTCACTCCAAAACTTTTTCTTATTTTCAACAAAATTTGTTGATAACATCTCACCCACTCTATCATTTGCTCTCTTTTTACATTGCTTCACCACTCTCTCAACCTCTCTTTTTCTCTCCATATACTCCTCCTCCTTGCATCACTTGCGCTTTGTAAAAACGTCTCATGTACTAAATTTTTCTCTCTTGCTACTCTCTTTACATCATTCTACTAATCGCTCTTCTTCCTCCAGCACCTACTTTCCTGTAACTACAAACTTTTGCCGAACACTCTAACACTACATTCTTAAACCTACCCCATACATCTTCAACCTCATTGCCTATATTCTCACTAGCCTATCTATCTCCAACAGTTGTTTATATATTACCCTAACTGCTTTTAACCCTTCACCTCTCTCTTACTTGCTGCTTCCATTCTACTTGTATCCCATCTACCTTTTACTCTCACTGCAGCTACAACTAAAATGTGTTCTAATATATCTGTGGCCCCTCTATAAACATGTACATCTTGAAGTCTGCCAAACAGTCTTTTATCTACCAATACATAGTCCAACAAACTACTGTCATTACACCCTACATCATATCTTGTATACTTATTTATTCCCCTCTTCTTAAAATATGTATTACCTATAACCAAACCCCATGTCTATACAAAATTCAATCAAAGGGCCCCCATTATCATTTACACTTGGCACCCCAAACTTGCCTACTACACCCTCTTTAAATGTCTGTCCTACTTTAGCATTTAGGTCCCCTACCACAATTACTCTATCGGTTCAAAAGTTCCTACACCCTTGAATTTATACATTTATAATCCCATTTATTTCTCCCCACTGAAACTCGCCTACCCCCTTCAGCTTTGTTTCGCTTAGAGCTAGGAGATCCAACTTCTTTCCATTCATAACATTAGCAATTATCTCTTTTCATATGTACTACATCCACGAACATCCAAGCATCCCAGTTTTGTAAATTTTTTCTTGTCTTTTTTAGTATTTTCTACATTAGGGGCTACTAGGTCATTGTTCCCGGCATTTTAATCACCTTATACGACACGCATGGCCCATGGAGGAAAGATTCTTTTCCAACTGCCCATGGAGAATAGAGGAAATAAAGAACAAGATCTATTAAGAAAGAGAAGAAAACCTAGATGTGTGTATGTATATATATGCGTGTGCATGCCTGTGTAGTGTGACCTAAGTGTAAGTAGAAATAGCAAGATATACCTGTTATCTAGTAAAGCACATTAAATTTCTCAATAATAATATATCAAATGAGATCGCGATCATTTTAAAATTAATGTGCACACAAATAGTTTGTTTCCAAAAAATATATATATATAATTTTTAAGTCGTTTGAGCTAGTGGACATAGCATTATATGGTTAGGCTTCAGTTTATTATCTATAAAGATGAATTGAACCTACTTTCTCTTTATACTAGGCAATTTTAATTTGGGTTAGTCGTAGTTGACAGTACATAAATTATGCAATTTTTTTTATGGTAGATTATAATACCACTGGAGTAGATTAGGGTTCAGCGTTTCTTTTTTTATTATTATAATAATAATGGAGTACATTAGGCTGTTCTATCTCCAATTTGATCATATTTGGTAATATTAATGATAAACTCGTTTAAGCAAATTTGTATTCACCGAGACAGTTTTACTCCCTAATTTAGGTGGTGTATAGGTGACGTGTTGCATTAATGACCCTCGTGTTGCCGATAAGCTTTAAGCACAAAGAACTAAGTAATCGGGTCTTAAGAGAAACATACTTGTTTGGTAATGAGACCCTTTATTGACAACGTTTCGCCCACTTCTTTTACATGACAACGTTGTTAGTAAATGATCTCGTTACACTGCTTTGTGTCTGTTCCCTTCGTGTCGCTATTTTATACCATTTCTCTCCATACTAACGTTCCATTGAGAAAATCTTGATGTAGCCTCACCACGTCCCACACTGAGCGGCCTTCACACATAAGGTTTTGCTTGTTTGGGGCTATCTCACTGTGAGAGAACTCTTCACTCGAGCTGGAGTCGCAGAAGTCCACAATCTGAGAGTAAGTACAATTATATACCAATAGAATAGCATGGGAGTGTAATAATGTTGGTAGAATTACCGACAATATGTTAGGTAAAAGGACACAAGTGCAACTCATGCGACATTTTATTGTGGCAACGTTTCGCTCTCCAGGAGCTTTGTCAAGCCGTAACGGCTTAATAAAGCTACTGGAGATCAATATCATCCTTTGAGAAAAACATAACACGGCTAAGTCTGAGCTGACCAGAAGTGGTATTCTCAGTCGCACAGAATCCAACAACTGTAAGATTATTAAGTTAGAAAACTGGCAAATTTGCACATACACAGCCTAAACACAAAAATATCTTTTGCTTTCATAAGTTGCATTATCCATTAACGATTGAAGTCATTCAGTAGAGGCATACTCAAAGTTTTCCACGGGAAAAATAAAACTATGTAATATTAAAAATAAAAAAATGACAAAGCGGCTTCTCGTAATTTAACAGCAATCACAGTGTGGAAAAAGTGTGAAGTAGATCAGAAGAGGCTTTCTCAGGTTATCGCACATATACAAAATAAAGCTAGAATGGCCCATATAAAATTAAATAGGGGTAAGCTACACTTGCCACTGGTTGCATGAATCGTTTTTCTTCGATACAGTGAACTAGCGCTGAATGTTTGATGACGATCAGATCAGGTGTTCCCATATTATAAATGAAAATCTTGGATGAAAAAGATTCTGTCAGCCATTTCAAGACACCTCTTCGGGGATACCTAGATAATATATCACGTCATAAGACACCCCTTAGGGATACCTAAATAGTATATCACATCATATGATACCCCTTAGGGGATACCTAAATAGTAAATCACATCATAAAATGCAATAATATTATAAGGGAGGGGGTAAATTGTAGTGTAAAATGGGAACCTAAACAATGTCTTATAGTTCTCACTACCAGTATTATCCTCTTGGGAATTAGTGTGGTGATCCAGAGTGGTAATGCCATCTATACTCTAGACACAAGCTTGTTGAAATTTAAATTTCTGCATATATATATATATATATATTATATATATATATATATATATATATATATAATATATATATTATTTAATAAATGTATGGAAGACGGTAAGGTACCTAGGGAATGGCAGAGAGTATGCATAGTTCCTTTGTATAAAGGGAAAGGGGACAAAAGAGAGTGCAAAAATTATAGTGGGATAAGTCTGTTGAGTATACTGGTAAGTGTATGGTAGAGTTTTATTGAAAAAATTAAGAGTAAGACGGAGAATAGGATAGCAGATGAACAAGGAGGCTTTAGGAAAGGTAGGGGGTGTGTGGACCCGGTGTTTTTCAGTGAAACATATAAGTGAACAGTATTTAGATAAGGCTAAAGAGGTCTTTGTGGCATTTATGGATTTGGAAAAGGCATGTGACAGGGTGGATAGGGGGGCAATGTGGCAGATGTTGCAGGTGTATGGTATAGGAGGTAGGTTACTGAAAGCAGTGAAGAGTTTTTACGAGGACAGTGAGGCTCAAGTTAGAGTATGTAGGAAAGAGGGAGATTATTTCCCAGTAAAAGTAGGCCTTAGACAAGGATGTGTGATGTCACCGTGGTTGTTTAATATATTTATAGATGGGGTTGTAAGAGAAGTAAATGCGAGGGTCTTGGCAAGAGGCGTGGAGTTAAAAAATAATCACACATAAAGTGGGAGTTGTCACAGTTGCTCTTTGCTGGTGACACTGTGCTCTTGGGAGATTCTGAAGAGAAGTTGCAGAGGTGGTGGATGAATTGGGGTAGGGTATGTAAAAGAAGAAAATTAAAAGTGAATACAGGAAAGAGTAAGGTTATGAGGATAACAAAAAGATTAGGTGATGAAAGATTGGATATCAGATTGGAGGGAGAGAGTATGGAGGAGGTGAATGTATTCAGATATTTGGGAGTGGACGTGTCAGCAGATGGGTCTATGAAAGATGAGGTGAATCATAGAATTGATGAGGGGAAAGGGTGAGCGGTACACTAAGGAGTCTGTGGAGACAAAGAACTTTGTCCTTGCAAGCAAAGAGGGGAATGTGGTGCAAGAATGGTATATAATACCGACAAGATGAAATTAAGACACATGTGCAACATCTGGGTATCTTTATTGTAGACGTTTCGCCATCCAGTGGCTTTATCAATACAAATTCTAGGACACAGCTTGAAGACAGTAGGACTATATACAGAAGATGAGGTATTGATATATATATATATATATATTATATATATATATATATATATATTATATATATATATATATATATATATATATATATATAAAATATATATATATAAATGCATTACTACCCTGGATCGACAGACTAATTCGCTAGAACGTGAAGCTGATTGCTCTGGTATCCTGGTTATCCAAACAGAATAAGGATTAAATGAATGAAAAGGTAGTTGAGAAGCAGCCTTTGTAGGCAGTGACTTACATCACTGAGGTAGTAATAGGACATGAGGGAGGAGGTGGCTTCCTGCTGGTTGTATGGGATGAAGCGGCAGTCATCATTTGGGAGGCCGTTGTCCAGTCTGCACGACCCTCCAGTTGTTACATCCCTGATAAATACACAAGCATTCAAGTTACAGCTCATCAACTAACAAAGAGTAGAAAGTTACGGTCGGCATACCTCTCCCTCTCAAACCGTATGTTTCAGCCTGTCCTGTTTCAACCAGTATCTTCCCCCCTCAAACTGCATCACCTAAAACTTCAAACTCATATTACCTCTAACCTGCATCACCTCAAACATGTATTCCTTCCCTCTGCCCCGTAGCTCGGTTGGTAGCACACTCAGCTCACACTGAGATCCGTGGTTCGATCCCCGGTACGGGTGCAAATATTTGGGCGTGTTTCCTTAAGATATCTGCTGTCCCGTTCACCTAGGGCTAAAAAAGGGACTGGGGGG